ATAAACGTGTATTTGTTCGTAAAAGGCAATATTGACCAAAGTCAGGCATGGGTTTTGACACGTGATGATCGTCTGTGAATTTCAAGGCAACGGTAATGCAGAACATGTGGAAACAATTCAACGGCTCTGACACGCAACATCCTCACTTATACTATTCACTCATTTTTAAAGAGAATGCAGGACACCTAAGACTTTCTCGTCTATTGTCATAGCAATGTTTATGTCATGTTTAACTGTGTATGCCGAGATTTAAGGCGATTTGAGCACATTTCAACTGCTATGCTATTCAATCTGGAGAAACGTAACCGAGTAGAGGATCTTCTCGGCAACTCTACATGATTTTCCACAATAAAGTGTTGTATTTTGTAATGCAACAATAATAGCAAAAGTACGTATACTTTTTTGATTCTAGCGCCTTAAACCAAGCAGGTTTTTTTGGTACAAACAGTATTAGCGTACGTAATGGTTACCCTAAACTTTTCGAGCACATTAAATCTAATCACGACGTCTCTGACCGTCGTTAGTTATATTAGGTAAAAATATATAAACAACGAATATAAATATTCAGAAAACTCTATAGATAATACAGTTTTAGATAATATATCTTCATAGAATCTAGTTAATAATAATTATCTGGTTTTATTTAAGGAAACTAGAAAGATTTTTGACAGTTCAGCTATCAAGGTATTATATAAAAAAGCATTACTGCCGATTTAGCAGCGTACTAAATAGTTTCTCAGAATAGTTCTAATACTGTTAGGACTGATCAGATATCCATAGGATCAAGTATCTGTCTTCTTATCGATTCTCATTTCCCCTACTGATGAGTCTCACAGACTACCAGACCTGTGTGAAGTTACTCCAGCACTTTTCGATTCTTTATTTTTGAAAATTGTGCTGAATTGTGCTACATTTGTGATAATTTGTGCCGTTAATCCAAAGTCGATAACTCTTACGATTTTTGAAAAAATTGAAAAATCGTTGTAGTAGTCCTTCGTTTGTGCTACTCCATAACAGTCGTGAAAACCAGAATTTCGGAAAACTAAATGTTGTGCTGTGTTGTGATACGCGAACCATTTAAAGAGAAAGCAAAATTGACAACGGCCACTTAAAAATAGTCTGTGAAATTAGTCACATTTAATATTCGCACTCAGAATTACCCAGAACCAACAACGTTGACGTGACGGACTATTAATTGCTTTGTTGTTTTTTAAAAATATTTTTATTTTTTATTTTTTTTTGTATTTTTTATATTTTGTTTTACCTTCTTTTTCAAAACTTATAAGATTACTCGAATGTGATGAATCTTCATATTTACACATTTATGCCATCACGTAAATAAGCAGATGAGGAAGAACGGTGTATGTATCGGATTTCTGTTTAGTATTTTTAATCATGTCATCAAATTCAATCTATCTCGTCACTTGATACGCGTAGCCGACATAATTACCTGATCTGCGACTTATTCCACCAAACAAGCTATCACACCTGCAAGAACAAAACAGATGTTTCCTACCTGAATTTCATTTGGAAAATCTGAAAGGCGTTGTTTGTTACAAGATTGATATTCTGCAGGATCACACTCTTCAAATGAAGTTCGCGTAGCACAACACAGCACAACATTTAGTTTTTCAAAATTCTGGTTTTCACGGCTGTTTTGGAGTAGCACAAACGAAGGACTACCACAACGATTTTTCAATTTTTTCAAAAATCGTAAGAGTTATCGACTTTGGATTAAAGGCACAAGTTAGCACAAATGTAGCACAATTTAGCACAATTTTCAAAAATAAAAAAATCGAAAAGTGCTGGGCTAACTTCACACAGGTCTCTACCAGGCACGCAAAGAATTAAAACCATTGATTTATATTTGACAAATCGAAAACTCTGGTCTATGCAAGAGTCAATGCATTTTTGAATTTAAATTATCAATATACATATTACTCGTCCATTAGTTCTATTAAACCCGATACATCGATTATTGAAAAAACAAGGGCACGGAAATATCTATAGAATATATAGTGCCATTATTCGGAAACAATTGTTTAACCCTTCTGCGGTTCTATTTACTGGCAGAAATCAGTAACAAAATAGTTGAATTTTTATCGCAAACGAAAATCCTTACTTTCAGATGATATAATATTTTTCTGAAATGCTGTTTTCAAATTTGTCGTCATTGTTGTGAAGTTCAAAATAGAGCTCACTGAAAGGCGATTCTACGATTCCCACTCCTTGCTCTACTCCTTTCACCGCTAAATTGTAGCAAGAGTAAACGAGAGCGGGTACGCTTCTAAAACACCATTCAACAGTCCTTTTCTAGATATTAGAAGCAATAAGCGCTATTGCGTATTACATATTCCTATATTACAGATTTCATTACACCCACATACATTACTAAAGAAGCGTATAGCAAATTGCGGTCTACTGATCTAGAATATTTAGATAAGCGGGACTTGACAAAATCTAACTTTGGCCATGGCTATTATTAATTACTGAAAAGCTTCAATTTCCACTTTGGTTTATATTAATATGATGCCTGGTTATTAATTAAGTTATGAAGAAGAATGTTACCCCCATGTAACTCGGGATTAACCTTTTGAGCACGTTTCTTTCACCCCGAGTTAACTCGGGTTAAACCGTAGCAGGGTTAAGCATTGTGTCCCAATCGACGACAAATAACAATATTTCCAAGCTATAAACTCACCCTAAAAACCTACATTTGCTACAAGTTAGAAGCCATTGCCATGAGTTTTGGTATATCGCTAACCGTAGTAACTGTACAAGGTCGTAAGAATGACTTAAGGGGCTTATCCCTAATATTCCAGAAACCGATTGAAAAATCGATTATTGCTACAGCTTTTCAAATTCGGTTTTCAATAAAATTATTGGCCTACTAGTATCGTTTTAAAGAGCAAGTTTTATTCAATATTTTAAAAGATTAAACAATTATATCGGATTATTAGTTCACATTTCATAGCAATTCAAACGTAGCCTTATAAACGCGACGTGACATTTATCATTATAATTTCTGACACACTTTTTTCTAAACTATTGAAGCCCGAAATTAAAGTTTGGTCTTAAGATTTGCAGAACGAAATCCTTGCTACGTCCCATACACGTACCAAATACACCATAAAATTGCATTTATGGTTCGTTAAATGACATTGAATGAAATCACTGATTCGTAGAGAGTCGACCGTATATGGTCGGTTTAAGTAAAAATTATATTATGTTAAATTTAAATAATTTAGAATTTTCCTAAAGTTCCGGAGTACTTAGTCACAGTCTCAAGCAATTTGATAGTAACCGATGCAATTATTCAAATTTCCAAGGAGATCTAATTAAACAATATTTTTAATTCCTTATTCTTTTGAGTTCCATAAATTCGTCATGGAGTAATACTAACATCTATATATGTATATAAAGTCATTTGGTGGTTTAGAAGTCAAACAAAGAACAGAGTATTTTAAAAAGTGTAAACAGTGGTAGTAAAAGAACCAGATTGACTGCTTCATTAACAAGACATTAGACAATGAAAATAACCTTAAATAGTAAAAGACAATATTTAAAAAATATTACCTCTACGAATTTTTTAAAGCGGGTACTACGTAATTTTTTCTTATTCTGCGGCAGTCTACTTGTGAACTAGAATACGTGACATAAACATCTTTGAAATAAATGAATTTTGGAAAGTATAACGCATTTCATTAACATTATATAAAACAGAAATAATTTAGTGAAGATAAAAAAATAGCACACTTAAGATAACGATTATCAAGAAATAAGAGAATGTTTTTTAAATCTCATATATATTTCAAGATAAATCCCAAGGTTATATATGATTAACCATTCACTTTATAAGCTTTGGGCGGTATATCCCTTGGTGAGGGATAAGCTTTCACCCTCCCTTACGCGGCTCTGTTTGATTTACCTTCTTCATGGGACCTCATTGAAATTCATTAAATTTCCCCCCTTTGAAATCACTAGGAACCTGTCGATCTCTGTACGTCGTATGCAAAGACCTTGTCACTACTAACGTCAGTTCTATCGATATGAACAAATAACTGACAAGGAAACCCCCCAACCCGACCCCAACGATTTCAATAATTTTTTGATATGTTGTAGTACTCGACAAAATAAGAGACACGTATTTTTTTTTTGTGCTGACATCCACTTTAAAGGGGTGAAAACGACCCCTGAAATTCACCCCCGAAAATCGTTTTTTTATCATATCTCGACTGCTAATTAATATTTTTTAATAAAACCAAGTGGAAAATATTTGTCATAAGAAGTCGAAGATATGAGGTTTGTTAATGACCCAAGGGGTTGCAACCCTTATTTTATATTTTGAAAAAACTATATTTTTTATGCTTTTTTTCTGCATAAAAACCGGGGTATGGGCTCAAAAAAATAAAGAAAAGCGTTTCCATTAACTCTATCAAATATTTCAGTTGGGGTGTTTCAGGATTTTTCAAAGGGATAAAAACCACCCCTAAATTTTACCCCCGAAAATTGTTTTTTATCATATGTCAGATTCTAATTGATATTTTTTAATAAAACCAAGTGGAAAATATTTGTCATAAAAAGTCGAAGATATGAGGTGTGTTTATGACCCAAGGCGTTGCAACCCTTATTTTATATTTTGAAAAAACTATATATTTTATGCTTTTTTTCTTCATATAAACCAGGGTATGTACTCAATATTTATTAATATTTTTTAATGAAACTATGATTAAAAATTATTTTTATAAGATTTATTTCTTTTTCTTCTCTTTTTATAATTAATTGTAAGTCACAGTATTTTATTCTTCAAAGTGTTGACATATCGTCACACGTCTAAAAGGTTTTGATGAACATGACTGTATGTAATACTAGAAATGTTTTATTTGCAGTTTCCTCATAACTAGTAAAGCCTACAAATATCGTTGAGTTCTTACTGTATTAAAACTCTTTTATAGTATCAGACAATTACAATTAAGAAAAAATGGATTATGTATACTTACCACCCAGCAATTCCATTAGGTTGAATCTCCTGCAGAAAGATGCCAAGTTCGCCCTTATCCTTGCTGCGTAATCCGACAACACTGAATCCTAGACTAGTGCCCTCCGGTTTGTATAACTGAAATTAAGAGAAGAAGTATTATTTTTAAACCAGGACATAAAGCTTACGGTTACGATATTAACGTTCTTAAAAGGATAATATTTTTACTTAAACTAATATTACTGTCTCTCTTACATTACAAAAAAAAAATTAATGTAGAAATTAATATATACCTGCACAGTGTAAATCTGGCGACCCTTTGCAGCAGCTTCAATGACTTTCTGAAACTCCTTGGCATATGTTGGTGTAGTTATGGGGGGCATACCCATATCTTCCGATACCAAGCTGGGACTAGTAACCTATGACAAGAGAATGTGCCTTACATGCAACTTGTGTCACAAAAATATTGATATAACTCTAACATTAAAATAATAAATTTGAATAAATATCAATTTACTTGTGCACTAGTATCCTCGCTACTGCTATGAACCAGTTGCGCTACAGGAACTCTTTGATCATCTAGTTCACTGCTGTCTTGATAAATATCCTGGTATGAATTTGGACCCAATGGCTGTGCAGGTGTATTTGGTACAGAAAGTTCCAAATGTCCACCAAGATTAATATCAAAGTCACCAGGTAAAATTGAGGGATGCTGACCAAGCTGTGTATTTAGCTCAGTCAATGAGTCTTGAATAGTTACAATACTGCGGAAAACAGGATCTTCCAGCAACGATATCAAGGCTTTTAAATCCTGGCTAGTATGCATCTGTATCTTTGGGTCATCACAATCCTCCACTCGCTCCTGAACATGTTCCAACAAGTGCAAAGCCGTTGATATATCTAAACAAGAAAAATAATCTCTCTAAGTCTATTGACACATATTTCTTTCCACAATATCAATGTATTGTACTCAAATAATATGCAAGTCGAAAATACATTATAATAATCAAGTAAGGACGATGTGACAATCATTTAAAATTAATATAATTCATATGTAGACATATATTTTCCCACTTAATAACAGTTATTCAGGATAAAACGCAGAATACAACTTCTTCTTGAAGTTAACTATAGATTGTTTAGGTTTTATGCATAAAGCTCTTCAACAAAGAGTCATATTCTTTGGTTTTACCATTATTCAAACCAAACACACAATCCAAAGTTGGCCTATTTATTTGATTTCTATAGTGAAACCAATTACTATCAGTGCGTTAGTATTAAATAACTGAAATATATAGACATATTTATTTTAAAATATATTTCAAACTCACCTGTACTCAGAGACATCTTATCTGTTATAATAGATAACAGTTTTACACAGAAATCAACGAATATAGATCTGGAAAAAAAAACAAAATGAATTATTTTTCTTATTACACTTCGGGCCAAAAAACTAGAAAACTATCTATCCTTGTATAAAAATAAGTAGTATACTAATTTACTTAAAAGAACAAGATGCTCTCAATCTAAACCAACCATTTATTATTTGTTCATAACCAAAGAATAAAGAATTAATAGTAAAATTAATATCTGAATATAATTCAAAGTTCCATTGAGCGTTGTAATGTACAATAATACATAGAATGTGGCGAACAAAATACATACATTTTCCGTAAAACTTTTCAAAGCGTTATTGCTAAATAACTCTGATATCTCCTCAAAAAGCTATTTAACGAAACTTAACCTCAATATACGTAAGAAGAATCAGCTGAATCGATTTTCACACGACAGTCACCCTCTTGCGTACACGACGGGATGCTTCAACGCATGTCCCATAAAAGAAGTCGTTTTCCCCAAATAAGAAAATCAGTTTTAGGTATCAGGCACAAAATTGTATAAATCAATATAAAACTAATCACAAAGTTATATTAACTTTGACTAAAAGACAGAATGCAAATTTAGCGTAAAGTTGTACATTTTCCGATTCAAAATATAACCATTCACAATCAAATTGAACACAAATATGATAAAGGACAATTGTTTACAATAGTGAATATATGGATTTAAAAACTAACCCAAACAGAATATTTTTTTGATATTGAAACACTTGACAGCTGTTCTTTTATGTATATACACCCATCACGTGTCCTCCTTTCTGCGCAAGGTACATTGCGCAGTAGCTTCGTCAGCAGAAATGCATTCATTGATATGTGCGAAATTTACTACCACTACTGAGATCAGAGCTGTGTCCTTATTAATCTAAACCTATCTGAGAGAGATGTAACTACTTTCGCAGTGGTGTCAGTAAACTTTTAAAAGGCACCTCATAATAAAAAATGCAAGCGAACAATTCGACTTGGCAATTGTAAATGGTATTTCTAACCCTGTAATATACTATGCATAACACAATTAGTAAATTTTAAAATATGTGCATACAGTAATACAAAATAATAAGTATAACAGTCAAAATACATACTCAAAGTATAAACGTAACGTAACATACTGGATATTTGTTTGACATCTTACAGAACTCTAGAGTGTTAGAATTCACATCATACAAACGTCGTGTATCGGCATTATTAACGTGTAACAGATATCTGTAAATCTGCAAAGGACATCGTACAGACGTCATTCGGAAGTATATTTATCCCGCATACAGATAATTTTGTCTATCTTTTGCACTTTCTCGTTGTCATTCATAGGATGTATTTTTAATATTTATTTTTACAATTTCTTGACTTAAATAGAATAATCATATATTTAATAAATTCAGTATAGTAAGTGATATTACATTTAAAAAAATATGGCTCCATTTTTGTTCTACCAACAAATTCCGTTACGTTACGTTCTTATGTCTCATTCCATACCATGAATTCCAAAGTACTTACTTTGAATGTACTAATAGTATTCTAATACTATACGTTTGTTATTTTAGGATTTTACCGTAGTTATTTTTGTCAAGTTATTTCTAATATGCTCTATATAGAAAGTTGACGTTGATTTTGAGTTTGAAGACTGGCATAATAAATACAAATTTATATCAAGTAATGTACTAACCCGCCAAGTAATACTCGATAAGGAATCACCTAAACTTTTATTACTTATTGAATGACCATTAAATCATAATTAAACATGAAAAGCAGTAGTAATATAAGAGTAGCAAAGACGTTATAAGAAATTTTGAAAATACAATTATTAAAATGATGGACCAGTGCTAGATCATATAATAGGCAGACATTTAGCGACTTATATACTTGGCATTAATAATATGATTTTAATACTTTTTGCCAGAGGAATTTACAGCATTCCTGTACTTGCCATCGCGTTTTTTACACGTAAGTGTTTTTTGAAGAGATATCACAAATTTTTTTCGTAAACGGGATATATTGAAGGAGTTCTAAGCACTCAAATGTATATTGTTACAAATATAAAATGTAAAAACATTGTGATGTCACTAATTAGAAAAATATATTGCATTGTCCAAAATATTTAAAGACATATAAATTTAATTTATAAATCCATTTCTTTTAGAATTACATAAAAATATATATAAATTTTTAAAGAAAATGTAATCTTAAGCAGATAAGCATCATTAATAGTGTTCAGCTTGTTGAAGTCGTGTGGTAAACGTAAAGGACGAGAGTGTGTAGGATTATTTACGTACCTCAGGCCGTGCGAGCAACATAGAAGATACTATGATGTGAGCGAAACGCCAAAGTGTCGCTCGTTGCGTCCTTTTCGCAGAGCATTAGTGTAACCGAGTCGGCAATCAAGAGACTCGGTCGAGTCTCGCGCCAAGTACAGGCAACCGACTGTACAGGGCACAGCTCGCAGAGACTCTTTACTTGAGTCAACTCTTATACCTGTGTTTGGAACGAAATATCTTATTAACCGCTATACATGAGAAAAAGTTATTGATACGTTCACTATAGGAATTGAGGGTTCTGAATTGATTGCCACCACGTTCAATACGATTTGTGTACGACATCAGGGCGTATTGAGATGGCGAGCGAGATGATTTTATTTCAGTTCCGTCGTCTTCGCACGTCCATCGTATTTTTTTCACGACAGATGGCGCTGACTGCTTTGCCTTCTTTACCTATTTGTA